CCTGCAGTTCAAATACTGAGAAATCAAGAAACTAATGGGAATTAAAAACCAGCTTATTTGATTTTTGCTGTTCAAACAGAAAAATGCAAAAAGCGAACAACCAACTTAACTAGCAGGGAGTGGGCAGGATCTTTAAAATTCTCAAGTTTGGGCTATCACATCTGGCATATTAAACTTGACACTGTCCCTGTAGTAAAGCCATTTCCTTTTAATCTTTCTTTAGAAAAAACAACAGAACAGCAAATTAAACACAATCCTCTCCTCAATTCTCAATTCCATGCTATTTCAGTGTCGACGAATCAGGTCATGTAATAATAAAATTCCTGCAGAAATACGATCTTAACTGTATAACCTTCAAATTGCAGTTACACTGCTGTGTGCATTTAATACTGTACTTGACATTCCCCTTTTCCATTTCACTTCTGGATGACATTAGGATCTGCAACAAGGACGTCCTTCAGCTCTCCCAGGTTACCATTTATTTTAAAATATCCCCAAGGCCTCCAGCACCGTTTAGATCAGACTTGCAAAAGTTACTGGTACTAGTGGTTTTTGCAGGTCCCTCGAGTTGTTTCTGAAAACAGGTTCCATTGTGTTCATATTATGCTTTTAAATTTTATAGCTCATTTTTAAATTACATGTTAATTTCTAAAAATGTTAAATTGCGAGGAAAAGTTGGCAAGGACCACACAAAATCACAGCACTATTCTGCAGCTTGTGTGTGTCTTTCTATAGTACTTATGTGCATGGCTATACCCTTACATTTAAGTGCTCTGTATTAATGTGGGCCTCATCCTGCAGTGTGCTGAGGGTCTCACCAGAGGTGCTCAGTGTGCTGCAATAAACAACCCCGGGATCATGCTTTATAAATCACAAACTTTGCAGGATCCAAATGAAAGAAAGAAAGGAAGCCGAAAGGAAAGAAAAAGGTGGCAGCAATGAAAACATCAGAAACAGAGCACACTCCTGAGTATAAACGTCTAAAAATAGAGATCAAACATCTTCAAAAATCAACCAGTCATTCAAGAGGATTTTTAAAAGCCACCCTCCTTCCCAGGTCTTTAGTTTCCTCACTATTTTTATTTGTTCTGGCTTTTCTACTGTGCTAAATAACTTATAAAGTGAAATCAAGGAAAATCTGTCTACAGAAAAGTTAGAGAACTCCCTGTCCTGCCATTTCATTGCTCTTTCCCTCATTTTAATTTTTGCTTACATTCACCAAACGCAGTTCACCAGACAGCGATATCCCAGAAAGCTGGGATTTTTCATTTCCTTGTGCTATAACGATGCAGAACATTTTGTTCCCGCAGGTGACTGACGATAGGGTACTCAGAGCAGTGCAGCATTACAGAAAGCCAGCATTTTAGTGATCCGTAAACCAAAGACTGACATTGCCGCTTTAGATTTATGTCCAGCCTCACTATAAACATTATTAGATATTTTACTTGTAGATTTCTGGAGTGTTTGTTGCAGTCAGACTGTTGTTTCTGCATGCGTTTGTACAACAAATACAGATAGGTAAGTCTGGTTTTAGTTATTCCTGTCACACAGGGAACCTGCTGTGAATGACAGCATGCCAAGGAGTTAATGAAAACTTGTTCTCCAACATGGATTTTTAACCAAACAAAAACACTGAACCAAGCTTTCAGTGGTCAGATGAAGACACATATTTGACCAATTATATATATTTATATATTATACCTACACTAGGATTAATCCAAACTGAAATTTACTGCCTTAAGCGAACACATTCGCGTATGTCACTTTATACACATAAGCATATCAGCTTACGACAGAAACGCTTACATATGTGACACATCCGAGCACGGCTGCACTCTCTCCCAGCAGCTCCGTTCCCGCAGCCGCTCCCCGGCTCCCCAGCTCCCCGGGCCACACTCCCACCCCAGCACTAGACCCAACTCCCACAAGATCGCAATAATCATGCAGAGGTATAAAGCGAGGCCGCTCTCCTGACAGTCAGTTATACAGCCTGTCCTTGATCTTTACGTGGGATTTCCCCGTTGTGTGAAGCTAGAGTAGCATATGGTCCCATGTTTATAAGCATGTTAATGACTGAAATGGGAAACTGTACAATCCGTTTACCTTATAAACGGTAAACTGCAATTTCTTGGTTTCGTCACCGGGCACTGCACTCATACCCTGTTAATTTGGCACGAGGTCTTGAGATGAATGTGGCCTCGGTGATGCTGGGCACTGGGTGAGCAAAGTTGCTGTGGACACACTGATGTACCTGAAATCAGGGTCCGGACCATAGCATGAACCAGATGTCATAAGCTTTCTACTCATGATCTGCTATGAAAAGTTGCTTTTTCGGGGAAGCACAATAAAGAATTTGCTTCAACACCAATGACTGCCTGCTCTTAGGAGCACAGCAACATTGACAAATGTTTTTTCAAAAATAAAATGTCAATCTGCTTTCACTCTGTGCTTTTTGAAATACTACTCAAAATGTCTTCATAAACTAAAATATTTACTAGGGACTTAACAATTTTTCTTCAACCTGTTTGTATTAAAAATTAACTGTTTCACTTAACAAAAAATAGGAGTGAGAAGCTCCTTACAAGTGGCGACGTCTCACTTAAAAATAGACTTCTTGCTTTCAGAAAGGTAAGAGTGGTACAGTCAGCCATACCCCATTGTTTGGCTTAAGCAAAATGGATTACAGCTATTTTTGAGAACACAGATACAGGTCTGCTACACAACTGCACTGAGAACTGCCATCCCAGGTATTCAAATTACAGAGAAAGACATAAAAAAATAAAACTTCCTTATTTATCTCTTGCTAGCTAACAGTCATTTGGATAATTTCATCTATTTGTAAGTAGATTGAATGAATGGATGGTAACTTGAAAATATCTGCTTTGTTCATGAAGGGCTCAGCTCCTGCATGGTACAGTATCATCAGAAAATCATTAATGGGATTGTAATCTTGCAGCTGAAAAAAGCCTGTTTGTACCTATTATTTCCTAAATGTGCACACATGTATAGGAAGGATATACCACATAATATAAGTGTGTGCACATGACCCTTTTCTTTCTATCAGCAGGCTACTGCTTGTCTGCTTTGGAAGTGTAAAAACACAAAACTGTATCCTGAGATCTGCTGGTGTGTTCTCATCAAAGGCCTTTCACTTCAAAAGGTTAACAAAGATATTTAAGAACTGACTTAAATACGATCTCAAAATGAGTTCCAGGAATGTCAGTTATGAATTTTAAGGACAAATATACTGGGTTTTAGTCATTCCAGCTCAGCTTGTGAATGCATACAGCTACAGTGTGCCTGTCTCAAACTTCTCATTAAGGACCCTATTTTTCAGTGCAGCTTGAAACTTGGCAAGAACAACTTAATCCAGTAGCAAATTTATTACAATTTTTTAAAAGTCATTGTGTCCATTTTTAAGTTATGGTAAAAGTACAGAAAACAGAAGTTTACATATCTGAGCTGCTGCATCTGTTCTCGAGTAACTTTTTACTTAAAAATAAAACTTGGCAGACAATACACCCATAATGCAGACCAAATGCATTTGGTATTTAAACAAAAAAAAAAAAAGAAGCTAAATGAACAGAGAGAGTTAATTTTGAAACCTACTCATCATGCATTCATTATTCTTGCTCCCCACAAGATCCCGTTTCTCTACAGGGCCCCCACTACCCTCTCAGTCATTCCCTGACAAACTGCACACACCAATGTCCTCCTACCCCCATCAGAGCGTTCAGCCCCCTGAAATCCTTGTGGCCCCACCACAGGGACAACAAAAATCACATGAAACGTGGCAGGAAAGAGAGGGCAAAGGCTGAAACTTGAGAGGTTGCAAAGGCAAGGGCACCCGAACCTGCCTGCCAAGGAAGCCAAGGGGAACCAAGTAAAGCATCTAAATCTACATTCACTTTAGCGCAAAGCCTGCCAGTGCTTTTCATCAATATTCATCCCAAAAGTGATGCTGCCTGCATGGTGGTCCCTGTCAGAATAACCTCCCAAGAAAGGCCCCAGGACAATGCAAAGGGATGCTGCAATGGGTGGAAACCCTGAGACGCTGGCTGAGAACTCCAGAGCTTGGGATGCAAAACTTCATTTTTTTCCAAAGATAAGGGGACAGCCTTTCCCTTACATCCCCAAAAAAAGACAGAACAAGCTTCACAAGAGGAACATTCCAGAACTCCCTGCCCCACAGGGACCTAAGCAAGTCCTAATCTTGCCCTGATTTACAGCAATTTACTGGCATGAACAGTCCCATATGCCTTCCTCTGACTGGTAACACAGCGGATGATATAAATCATGCTTTTATGTTTTTATTGATAAGATTAAAATAATAAATTATGTGTGACCCATCAAAAAAACATTACGCCAAGATATTTAATGGCCAAGTCTGTGGCCCTTTCCTCAGTGCACTGTGTCTGGAGAGTGATGCAGAAATTGGTGTGAACTAATTGATGTATTGAATGCATGAGCACCAAAGAGCCATGCACTGGAGAAGGCACTCTGAGGACAGACAAGATGCTGTACAACAGAGGAAGGTGTTCACGTGCACTCCATTGGGGTGTCTATGGCTCATGGAAGCGCCGCAAACAGCCACCTTGCAACGTCAAAGCCCTTCTCTTCCTCCGATGTGGGGCCATAGAGTACTTTAGTCCTCCTCCAGACCTCCTTTACTGTAACAGAATGCTCAAGAGTTTTCACCTTCTTTAGGCTCGTCTTAGTGCTGACAAAAATAGCCTGTGTAATTTCAAAAATCAATCCCACAGCTCCATTCAAATCGCAAACCATCCTCATTAGCAGTCAGTAACAGCATTTAACTTCAATGCTGCATGTAGAACTTCTCTGGTGAATGAGAGGGTGGACATGAGTTATTCACTCTCATATGAGAGGATGGCCAGGAGTTATTCACTCTCATAAAAAGTACAATTGGGTGACACTCATTCCAGGTAACAACATCCACCAAAGCTAGCTGTATTAGAAATGATGCGGAAAGAATCCCTTACCTGTCCGGTAGACAAAATTGCCTTCTGTTTCTGATGATGATGGAGACACCAATTCTTCCTCAAATTCATTGGAACTAAATGAACCAGAGTGATTCCTTTGCCTTGTTTTTTCCATCATAGCTGCGTTAGTAGCCATGACATGTCTCAATGAGTCATTTAGGTAACGATTCAATAAGCTGCTTTTGTATTTGGGGGGTGACACGTAATCCTCATTGGCACTTGTTTCTGGTCTCACTCCTGTTTTTATTACTGAACTTTCAGTTTTAATCACAGTGTGATGAACTGGTTTGTTATATCCCCCTTCATTCATATGGTTTCTCGGAGGATTTTCTCCATCTGAAAGCAAAAGAACAAAGATACATTGAATACCTGATACTTAACAAGAGGCTTTCGCCACATGTTTTAAATTGGTATAAATATAACTAAAACAAGACAATAATTTTAGACTTCAGCAGTAGACAATGTTTTTCATCTTCTTCTGTTCACACATTGCTCACAGTAGTTCCCAGGGTTCTCAGATGTTCCAGCTATTTCAAATTAATTAACTGTAGAAAACAGTCTCTGAGTCTACTTTGTTCATGAGCAACACAAGACAGGTAGAAAAAAAACTGAGAAATGTCCTAAATCAATGATAAACATTTAAAAATCTGTGTGAATAAGCTGAATTCTTACTATCATAACATGAAATTTAGTTGTTCTGAATACTTCAGCATATTTAAGTGTATTTCCTTAAACTGTACTCTTTTAACTGTCCTGCAACCAATCTTTTAAAAGGAAGCGCATACCAAAGAAATGTGAGTACAAATCGAAATTGGAACAAAGATAATTGGAACTGAGTACAAATTGAGATATATTATTCTAAAAATTCACATACAGATTTCTAACAATGTTCTGTAGCATTTGTTCCTGTCAATGTATCTCCATGTCACACTAAGAAAAGCACCCACAGACATAAGTAATACAAATGTTCTATTAAAAAATACAGGGTGCTATTTAAAAAATCCTGCATTTGTTAATTTGGATAAGAAAGCGAATTTCAGTGCACCTTTTAAGGAACACATCTGCTGGTAAAGTGCATAAGCCAAATAACAGTAATTAATATAATAAGCCCCACTGAAGTTAATCAGACTGCCTTGTTAATCAGATTCTTTTGTTAATGATGTGATAATGCTATAGCCCTTCCATCAAGAAAAGTAACAGTCAAAAGATTTCTCATTTCCCTAAACCAACAAATGTAATAAATTTTTTCCTTTAATGCAGATTAAAGGAATATGATTGTAAAATCTAATGAACTAACAATTATATTTCTAGTAACAATGCTACAGAAAACAGGCAAATAACATGCAACCAGACTGTCAACCCGATTAACCTACACAGTCCTGCTCTGCAAGGCTGCACAGTAGCTGGGAGCCAAAAATGACACCTAATTCACAAAAAGTAAGGGTGGATCCACTGAGAGCATTTTGTGAGAAATCAGAGCTAACTTTGGGTATCTGATTCTTTCTAAATAGATTTTAAACGGTTTAAAATTGGTAAAAAGAACGTCAACAAACCTTCAGAGCATGAGTCATCACTGCTTACGCTGAGTCGTTCAGCATTTCCTTGAACATATTTGTTGTACAGTTTTATTCGTAAAGCCCAGCTAAGATCTGGTTGCCTGACAGTATTCTTCAGGCGTCGTCTTGCATTGGCAAACCAGTTTGATACCTGCATACAAATTAATGTATTAGTTTCCCTTGAAGATGATGCAAACAAACAAATCTAACGCATAGAATTTTCATGAGTTTTATGTAAGCCCTAAGAAAATGGCAAGCAAGGGAAAGATGAACAAGAGTCCACGCAACTACCACTGAGCAGAGAAGGAACCTCAGACAAGAAGGCAGGTTCAGGCTTCCCACCCCTCATAAGTGTTAGCAAACCCTCATTATTAACAAGGTGTTAATTAAGGTGTCCCAAAATACTCATTTTATACTAACCTTTCTTTTTTTTTTTTTTTATTTTAAAGATACTTTCAATATGAACTTTCAATATTTTACTAACATCCTAAATTAAAACTAACAGCTAATGTTCAGTAATTTGCCTTTGACGTTTATGTAGGCTACAATACGGCTGTTGAACAGAAAAAAACATTCTGAATTTGGCTATATAAAAGCCCAAATTCTCCCTCATGCTTTATCAGTACTCCAAGTCTGGCAGGTAGTGGGTATCTGGAAAGTCTTACACAGAATACAATGTACTTTGAGTCATTGCAGGAATCAACCATTTGCCCTACAGAGCAGCAGCTTTTATGAACTCTTTCTGTTGTGGAAACCCTAAAAACCAGTGAAGATGCAGACTCCTCACAAGGTAACTACTAAACAAGAGACTGGCTTGTCTTCCTTCTCAGCTGCAGAGCATTTTTCTAGTTTGGCATTGCAAAATGAATACATGTTAGTACCCTTCTAGCATACAGGGTCACCACAAAGTCATGCTCAAACACAAGTATTTCACAGTGCTTTAGGCACCAAAGGAGCAAGAGGGCATGGTATAGTCTTCTGTGCCAGCAGTGCTAATCAAACCACCAAATGGGATGTGTGTACTTGCAGTGACTTTGCATGAAAGCATACCTGAGAAAATACTGGCCTTGATTCTACTGTGAGTTAAAATACATAAAATAGGAAATACTGATAATGACAGAGTGACCTTACCATAACCTTACTACGAGCAAGAGCAGAGGCAAGCTACCTATACTCTAACAATATTTGTTTAATGATAAATCAGGTCTTAAGAATGCTATTTACTCCTTGCAGGAATAAGTGTATTCTGACCTGACCTCTGCAAGAGGGAGGCAGAGTAGCATTACTTGCAAAGGAGAATGTAAAGAATGTCAGCAGTCTACAGCCCCACTCACATCTTTGTGTTGTGAAAGTACATACAGAGGAAGTCGGAGACTACTGCAGTCATGTTCTGAGCTGGGAATGATCATACCATTTAATTTATGTAAACCTGAAAAGCAAGTTAACACATGTTTTATCAATACATGATACTCCACCTACTAGGGAGCCAAACTGTAGACCTCGGTGTTGGATTTTGGCCCTAGTTTTGTCATCTGTCTATAGTAGCTAACGTTGTATAAACTGCACAGAAGTATTTGGCTAATTATTCTGGATTGCTAATCTTTTCTAGGGTGATTATGAGAAAAATAAACACTATCTGCTTCAAGGAAAAACAAAACTTCAGAGTCCCACCCAGAACTTAGTAGTGTCACCTGTCACTTTGATTTTACTTAAAATCACATTTAAACGAGACAGGGTTCCACCAAAATACAGTGAGCCCTGGATCAGAGCTCAGATGCCAAACATAACTTTACACGCCATGTAGTTTACTATGACAAGTTAGAACACCAAAACTGTAGCTGGCAGAGAAGAGTAAGTAATTTTCATTCTCTTCTAAGGCTACTTGTTTGTATTAATCATATTAACACAGCAATCATTATAGTAAACCAGAAAGGGTGGGCTGGAATCCATCCACTAATCTACATCCACATCTAATGCTGTTAACAGATTCACTCCAGACTGCTCAGCAGAAGCAGCAGTCAAGTCACCTGGCTGCTGCATGATTTAGTAAAACTCTGAAATCAAGTATGCAATGATAGAGATGGATCAGTCCACGGCTCCACTGAATATTATAGCAGTTACTGCAGAATCTTACAAAACTGACAGCTTTCCAACCTCTCACGAGAAAGATTTCATTAGGCTCCAGTTCATTAGATACTGAAATATTTCATCAGTGAAGTGCCATGTACAGAAAAGAAAGATGGGGCAGTATTAGAGTGACTCATACATAAAAGCAATTAAATTTAGCAGGAATGATTTTTGCATGGTACTCTCAGTTTATTTTGGGCTCATTCTTCCCATGCCAATGCTTTGCTTTCTGCATATCAATATGAAAAGATGAGTCATATTTTAAATCTTCTGCTATGAGAGGAGGAAATAGTAGTATTTGATCATTATGAAAGAACCTGAAGTCAGCATTTACAAGAGAAACTTTCTGCTAAAGAACAAAGCAGCAAACTCACTCCAGAAACTCTTATCCCAAATGCAACTACAACATGGCCTATTAAAGCTGAAGGAAAGATACGCAAATTCACTTAAGAGACTTTAGGCTAGATCTATGGTGTGGTATCTCTGGGTGTTTTCTTGCTCTTGGGCACTGGTGTATATTGCTGGAAAATCCTGATCTCTAAGACGTCAGAAGACTCAACATCTCTCCTGCTCTTCAGTCTTGGGCAACCTCCAGGTGTGTGGACTGGAAGAGGCTGCACGGTCCCGAGTTGTACCAGACAGCAGGCTCACCCTGAGCTCCAGCCACCGCCTGACTGATCACAGGCTGTCCCTGGCTCCTTTAAAACCAAGGTACAGTTTTATCACTAATTTCAACCAGCCCCAAATGTTACCTTGTGTATCCATGTGGTCTTTAAAAAGTTGCATGCGTACTGCTGTAGGTCCCACTCACTACAAGTGCCTGTTTGCACCACACTTACTCAAGCTATTACAAAAAGAAACAACCAAAGCTGCCAAAAGCCATCCATCCTTTACCATGGTCCCAAGTTACACCACTGTGACCTCCAAAAATGATTAAAACCCCCAAAACAATGATTTACATACAACCCAGTGGAAAAATCTTTGTCTTAGAAACTTCCCAAAGAAAAAAATGCATGATGAAACTCACTATGCTTGTAAAGTAACAACCATGTAGTTCTTCAAGAAGTAAAAAGGCAAAACCCAAGGAGAACGATAATAGATGTGCTTTCCAGCTTTCATATTTTACAGCAGTTCAGTCATTCCAAAGAGCATCAAGTACTTATATCAGCATCATGAAATATTAACCCTCTGGCTTCACTTCTGAAGAGTCTCTTCAATTTTATTGTAATTGGTTCTGCTTCACTGCTTAAGAGTGGCCAAAGTTTCAGAAAGGGAACAGAAATCAAGTGATTCTCCTCCTCCAGTAATCCAGATATGCCTTTATGAATCTGAATACTACTAAATCCATAGCAGCACATGTCCAATATATGAATCCTAGTACTGCAAAAAACTTCTCTTCAACAATATGGCCATTCATATTTCTTTCTGGAAGGAATATACAGCCATTTTTCTTTTTTATTTCACAAGAACATCTAAACCAAAATTTAAAATAAAATAAATCAAGCACTGTGGTAATAATACAAATGAAAATGTAGCATATTAATAGGACAAATTATTGGATTCTGAATTGGAATCTAATTGGAGTATAACATAAAATGCCTTTTCAAACTATATTGCTTTTTTGGTTTTCTGCTTTGGCAGTTGGGGAAGCAGAAAACTTTGGACTTCTGGACTGAAAGCTGCAATAACATTTGCCTTGAGGACTCCTGAAGACCTTGTTGGCCTGATTAGGAATAAGTCAGCCCAGAACTTGCCCCAAGTTTTGCTACTACTTATTAAGAAATAAGATGATTTATGATTCCTGCGAAATCCTACCTCCTTGAAAGAGGAGGTAGGATTTCCTCCTGCAGTGCTGTCAGACAGGCACCTGGAACAGCCCCCTTGCTTTCCCACTGCACCCAGGAACAGGGGGTTCAGCCAAAGTATTAGTGAGGTAGAATAAATTAATTTAAAATCAGTCAACTATGTGACAGCGAAACTAATGAAAATAAAGTTGTGAAAGATTTGACATGCAGATACTGTAGAAAACATGAACAGATGTTCACCTCCTTGTCTCACAGAAGGATCAGTTTTATCTATGCCACAGTTCTGCAAAAGCTCCTTTGGATAGTTGGTACATACTGGAATAAGGTTGATTAGATAAAAAAAAAGCACATGGAGAAGAGTTACAGCTATATTATCAATCTTACTGTGAGCAACATCATCTTCCAGGCAGCTGCTAAAGACCTTTTCCAAGGTCAGCAGTCAGGTGAAAAAGAAAAAAAACCCCAACCATTCATTCCCTAAACGGCATTTTGGCAGAAACTCAAAGGTGTTTTCAACAGTATCTTCTGCCTTCCCTAGGGCTTCCAATGACAAGGTGCCAGCACACGAGGGGTGCTGGGAAGAGGTAATAGCTGTCAGCAGACACCAGCCGCCACAGGAGTGGAAAGCTGTGGGGATAAAGGTACGTTCCCACCTAGAGTAAACTCCACAGGACAGCACCAAGAAATGGAAGAAGAGTGGGAAATACGAGACAGGTCGGCAAATGTGCAGGTGTGTAACCCGGAGAAAACATCATATGCTGATTCCTGGTTCTCCAGTGATGTCTGGTGTTACTGGATTAGAAAAGCAGTCACAGGAGACCCTGGCTGATGCTTTTGCAAAGTGCCCCTCCTGGGACAGAATCAAATCTTTCCAACAGATACCGAAGCCCAGTCCCAAGCTTGCTCTCAGTTATACCACCCAGCTGAAAGCGCACAGCCTCCGTGGAAACTATGTCAGATGTACCCAACGTGGCTGAGATCACAGCCTGGCACTTTCTCTCTCACTCTCAGAGAACAAGAATTTTCATCTGGATTACAGTCCCGTTCTTTCTGAGCATCCAAAAAGTAGATGTGGGGTGTGTGTTGTTTCTTCTTCCAGGCTCAGGAATTACTGCTGGTTCCAGACATACGTATTTACCTCTTGTACAGATGCTATTGTATTCCTGAATTAAAAGAGCATTGCACCCAAATGATGGAAGAAACATCTGGGGTTTCTTTTTGATGTTGTGCTTCTGTAAATGAAGATAGATGTGCTGGTTTGCACAGCTCTTTACAGTTCATAGAAAGAAGGCTGGTCAAATCCAGCTTCAGCAAAAATCCACTAGAGTCATGGGGGTCTAACAGAGATAAATGTAGCCCTCCGTGATTCTTTTAAATTTTATTCTACACCTTATGTAGATCACAAAATTCTGTGGAGTAGTGGCCATGGCTCACTTGATGCTTTTATAGAGGCTAACACAGCATATCCCCATCAGAATTTATCAAAGCTGCCACGAGAGAAATACGGCAAAAATCCACCATTTTTTTCTTCCCTCTCTGTTCATTCTGAGGCATTTATAAAAGAACAGAACTCCTCGAGATGTCATTAATGTCAAAGTCTCCCAACATGTATTCTGGATGTATGTTTTAAATCTCATGTAAAAATACAGGAATATTCTAAAAGCCGTAATCCAATAAACTACTCCTATTGCACTGTGGCATTAAGTAGATAGTGTTTATGTAATCGTATTTTTAAAAGTCTGAGCAAACCTTTCACATATATTTTTTAAAAGCTCGAGAAGTTGTTTTAACTATATCTTCCATTTATAACTGGCATTTTCTGAGACATTAATATTTTGGTTAAAGCTATAGTGTTTTTTTCTAGTTCAATACTTTCACAGTGAGGTACTAAAGTGTAAAAGTTCCGCATTTTGCCGTTACTAGAATGGAAGCTCATAGCACACTCAAAATAATAATGCTGAAATACCACCTTCTTTTTCTAACACTTCATGTTATTTTGATATCTTCATGTCCTTTGCAAAGTGACACATAACGTGTTAGGCAGAGAGCTGAGGACCCAATCCTGCAAAAACATGTGTTTCATTTTATTCACCTAGCAGTAGCTTGCAGTTAGGAAATTAGATTATCCATGATACATAAATCTTTGCAGCATCCAGACCTGAGATAGCATCACTCAGCAACCGATAGCATTTAACCACATATTTCAATAGAGTGCCAGATGGCAAAGAGAACAAAGAAGTAAGATTTATAAACATTTGCAGCCAACTTTATATCTCTTACTGGCAACGCAACTGCCAGTCATTTCAGGGAAGTTTTACCTGAGAGGAAAACAATTATTCCCCATGTCTAATTACACTATAATGCTAATTCCCACAAGGCTGTGAAGCACAGTCACTGCATGCTGAGCCACTGCACACAGTGTGTATGCTAACACTGAGGTCTGTGCAACAGGTGATTATTATCAGAACAATATAACTGTTTCTATTGTAGTCCATTTTCAAAAGGGAAAAGAGTAGCTCCCTACAACGTCCTCAGCAATTCCTATTCTGTGCCAAAATCTCCCATTATTGATTTTTCCTTTTTACCTGAAGATTTTTAAAGACTAAACAAAAATTTTCCCACCACATTTATGAGTAAGATTAAAGGATGAGGGCATCTTTTCCTAGGAGGGAAAGCGCACACTTTTTGCAGCCTGCATTTAGCGCTTCCCCAGCCAGGACAGCCCAGATGTGGGAATTCCTGTTTGGGGGATACAGACCTGCCGGAGGGGGGGCCCTGGGGAGGGTGGAGGGAAGGCTGAGCACAGGAGCCCTGGCCTTGCTGGCTGCTCCAGTGCCTCCCCTGGTACCCAGCGCTGCCTCTTGCTCAGCTCCCAGGGGGGCTTTGGCTGATGCCATCCCTGTCCCTCCCGTCTATGAAACGCCCCAAGGCAGCCGCCGGTGGTGAGGGTCGGGGGTTCCCTTACCTGCACCAGCGTCATCTGGGAGCCGAGTGCCAGCAGAATCTTCTCGGTCTTGGTGGGGTAGGGGTTGTCGCGGTGCTTGTAGAGCCACTGCTTGAGCGGCCGCGCCATGTCCTGCAGCGCCTGCCGCTTGTGCCGCACCTTCCCGCCGCTCTGCCGCGCCCTGCCGCGGAGAAGGGGCGCTGAGGGCCGCGGGCGGGGCGGCGGGCACCTGCCCGGTGCCCCCCCTCCCCGGTCCCGTTTCCCCCCGGGTTCCCTGCGCGGCCGCCGCTGCGGGAGGCGCGCAGGGATGCGCGCCCTGCTCGAGGGGGGGGACCCTGCTCGGGGGGCAGCCCCAGCATCGGGGTGCGCCCTGCCCGAGCCCCGTCCTCGCGGCGTGCTGGGGGACTTGCCACGGCCGCAGCCCCCGCCCCGGGCCGGCCGCGCAGGAGAAGCCCGGTGGAGGCTCTGGGGGAGCGCACCCAGAGAGGACGGGGCGCTGGCCGCGATGATGCCGCGGGCCCGGACGGCTCCACCGCGGGGGTTTCAGCGGGGCCAGGGCTCCGCCGGTGCGTGGTTTGAGTGCCCCGGTGCTGTCGGTGCTCGGCATCTGTCAAGCGTGTGTGGCCGTTCGGTCTGTTTACAGAGGGGCTTCCCGGAGGGGCCAGCGCCCGCCTCGCACGGTCCCGGCCGCGCACCCCAGCGCGGCGCAGCCGGGAGAACCGGGCTGCGGCGCGGGCTGCCGCCGGGGCCAACCGAGCCTGAGCCCCCGCGCGAATATATCTGTCAGTTACATTCAGGGATACCCGCGGCATCGAAGCTCCTCCCGGGTCATTTCCCTGCGCGGAGCCGGCGGCGAGGAGCGCTCCTGCGGGAGCCGGCGGTGCCGCTCCTCAACGCCGCCGGCAGCGACGTGAAGCAGCCCCCAAAGCCCCACGCCAGCCGGGGATAGAAAGGTTAAAACGGGGGGAATGAAACGGAGGTGCCGTTATTAATAAAAAAAAAAAAAAAAAAAAAAAAAAAAAAAAGGTTTCTTTGTAAAAAACGGCCGAAAATAAAAAGCGAGCGAAGAAAAACGGGGGAATAGCAAGGAAAACCCAGAGGCGGGCCGGGGCCGGCGGCGCGCCGGGCGGCAGCGCGGAGGCGAGAGGCTCCCGGTGGCGGCGGCAGGGGGCGCCACGGGGCCGCGCCGAGCCGGGCCGGGCCGGGCCGGGCCGGGCCAACCTAAGCCGAGCCGACCTAAGCCGAGCCGGGCCGTACCGTTCCAGGCCGAGCGGAGGCTCCCTCGTCCCGGGCTCCCTCGGCAACCCCGCTCCGCCGCGATCGGCTGATAGTAGCATTTCGATGAAACATAACCTGCGTCCTACCAACCAGCACCGCCGCTAGAAGTACGAGCTGATGCAATCGTTAAGGTGGAAATTCGGCAGTAAAAACAGCTCCTCGGGATTTCTGGGTTTCGGTGCCTCCTGACTGTGCTCCTCAGTCTTTACTTGGTAAAGCTGACCCGAAATGCCTGGTCCGCGCTTGCCAGTTCAACCCTTCGAGCTACGGCTGACAACGCGCCGGAGCTAACACGTCCTCTCATCACCTCTTGTTTCACCTGTTCCAGCACCAAAGAAAATCAGCCGCACACGGCTCAGTCTCAGCCGCCTTTTTAACAAAACCGATCCTAGCATCATCCTGTCCAGCCCTTGCCTGGCACCGCTCTAGTCCGTTTTAAATCCCAACCCAGGGAATGCACCGACAATGCAGCTCCTTCCCGGCCGCCTGCTCAGCGCGCTGCGAACCAGCGGGGCCGGCGGAACAAGTGTGGGGGTGCGCGCAGAGCCCTCCCGCCCCGGCCCCGGCCCCGGCCCCGGCCCCGGCCCCGGCCCCGGCCCCGGCCCCGGCCCCGGCCCCGGCCCCGGCCGCGGACCAGCTGCCCCGGCCCCGCCGGCGGGGCTCCCGTCCCGCGGGTCTCCCACCTTCCGCCTTGCGCCTCTGTTTTGGGGGCTTTAATTACGAGAAGAGCCCGACCAAACCGGACGAGCCCCGGTTTCCCCAGTTTGTTTTTGTTTGGCGGCAGAGAGGGGGAGGTCAAACACCGCGGGACAGGAGCGCTCCGTCTGGCACATTCCAGCCCAATCGGACGCCTCCGCATCACCTAGTACCGGAATTTCCCACCGTAGCTGTGGAATGAGAGCTTCAGAGAGTACGGACCCAGGGGCGCGGGGGAGGACCCATCCAGAACCCCATCTCGCAACCCCAAAACCGGCTACGCGGCGGCCGGGAGCGGCACGCGGGGCCGCGCCGCGAAGCCGGTGCGCGGCGCGGAGACGAGCGCACGGCATACCCCGTCCGCCGGTTGCGCAGGCTGAGGCTCTCCTTGATGGACGGGCTGTCGGGGAGCAGCACCTCGGCGTGGTGCGGCCCCTCCACCACCCCCACGTAGGGCCGACCGCTCCGCTCCCGCTCCTTGGCGTCCTCCTCGAAAAGCACCTGGCCGCTGAGCTTGCTGAAGACGATGGTGTTCATGGTGGGGGGCTGGGGGCCGCCGTCGGGCTGGCCGCCGGCTCCGAGGTGCGGGGGCTCGCTCTGCGCTGCGGGGAGGCGGCAGCGGTCACCGGGCAGCCGCGCCGAACCGCCGAGACCCGCCCGGCGCGACCGGCGGGGGGGCAGCGCGGAGGCACCGGGCGCCGCCTGCCCACCCACGGGAGGGGGTGCAGCCCGCCCCTCCCACGGCCCGGCCCGCTCCCACGGCCCCCCACCCCCACCTGGCCCGCTCCCGCGGCCCGGCCCGCTCCCACGGCCCCCTCGGCCCGGCCCGCTCCCACGGCCCGCTCCCGCTCCCGCTCGCACCTCGCCGCCAGCCTCCGCCGCGCTCCTCGCTCCGTGTCGCAATAGTTCGGAGCGCGGGTTTTCTGTTGGGTTTGCTGTTTCTCTCTCTCTCTCTCTCCCTCTCTCTCTCTCTCTTTTTTTTCCCCTTTCCCTTCCCCTCTCCTCCCCCGGAATTATTTTCCCCTTCCCCCTCCCCAAACGGGGAGGGAAACAAATTGTTTTTAACGACCACCAAATGCGGCGAGCCGGCGCCCGGAGAACACAGCCGCCGCGCGGCCACTCACGCTGCCGGGGACCGCGGCTCCCCGTCCCCCGGGGAGGGGGCACCGCCGGCGAGGGGACCCCGGCAGTCCCAGCAAGGGCGCGGGCCCCGCCCGGGCAGCGCGGCGTCGAGGGGCGGTGCGCGGAGGGGCGGCAAGAGCCCGGCGAGGGGCAGCCGCGGGGCCGGCAGCGCACGGCTGGGCAGTCCCGGTGTGCCCGGGGGGGGGGGCCTGCCGGGGAAGGCGGCTGAGGACACCGGCTGGGGTCACGCTGCCCACGGGAGAGATCCCCGTCGGTGGCGCGGGGCGCAACCGGCGCGGCGACGGCCGTGCTGGCAGCCGCAGCCCTGCGCCGGTCATTAACGCCGGCGTTCCATGAAGCGGGAACCGAAAACGTCTCCCCCCACCCTTCTCCGTTTCCTCTTGTACGTCGTGTGTCCCGTCCCCCTCCCCCCTTACAAGGATCATGAATTAGACCGCAGTCCAAGCCGGGAGGCAGCCCCGCTCCCTTTAGCATCCTCGGCGCTCGGGCGGAGAGACGATGCTCGCTCGCCGGCGAGGTCTGCGGGCGGCCCTGGCCCGCTCCCACGGATGTGTCCCGGCCCCCCCCGTCCCCGCCACTCCACACCCCCCCCGCGGCCCGGCCCCGGCTCTACCAGTCTTAACATTTCGGTTACTGTGTGCAGAAACGAAGATGGCCACAGTCAATATTTACAAGGATGTAATTCAGACGTTATTTGACCGCCGTGGGTGAGCGCGGAGCACCCGTCTGCGTCCGCGGGCCCGGCGGAACGTGCGCGGCGCGGAACCACCGTGCGCGCCCCCCCGGCGCCCCACGCCTTCCACGGCACCTCGCTTCCCCGTGGGCTCCCCGTCCTTGTCCCCGCCAGCATGTCCCCAAAGGGCCGGGAGCCTACAGAGCCGCTACCGGCGTTATCCCCTCCCCTTTCCATCACCCCGGCCTCGTCCTCTCCCGTCCTCCCGGGCCAGACAAGCCACCGCGGAGCGGTTCCGCGGTTTTCCGCGGCCCTCGGCGCTGGAGCGGCGGGGGCAGGTACCTGCTGCGGGCGCGGCCGCTGTGCTCCGCGGCGGGACCCGGCGGCAGCTCCTGTCCCCGGGCACCCCCGCCGCCCGCCGCGCCCCCCTCCCGCGATCAGCCGCACCGTTTCTGCCCTGTCGTGGGTTGCTTTGTGCGACCTAACCCGCCCTCCCTGCACCCCTTCCGTCACGGGCGCGTGACGTCACGGCCGCTCTCTGCAACGTCACACAGCCACAGGCGCTGGGGAAGGAGGTCGCTGGGAGAGCGGCACCCAGGCGTCGGGGGTCACTGACCCGATTGAAATTTCTCCAGTTGCTGAAGGGAATCAGGAGGGAGGTCGGGGATGGGCAATGTGCTGAAGACACCCCATCGTTGGGGGAGAAAAAACGCTATCCCCAGAGTAGCAAAAAAACCCACAAACAACTTGCTGCCAGTCCCCGGGTAAGAAAATGAAGGATAGAAACAGGTGGAAATGATGCTGGGAACACCTCTGTGCAGCCCCTGCACCCCGCGCCTCCCTGGGCCTTTGGGCAAAGCCCTGTTCGAGGCTCCCGCACAGTACATGCCCCGGCCAGAGCACTCCAAAACGGCTGGGGGGGGGGGGGGGGGGGGAGGAGGGGAGGGCATATGGGGACACCATGGGACGAATGCCTCACTGTTAATCTGTGCTAACATGCTTAATAGGGGCTTGCTTCAAAACACACAGCTCCGATCATTGCCATGCCCAGCTGAACTGTTTATGACCTGGGAAGTGTTGTTATATTACAGCAAAAGGAGACTGAGAAAGTGACAGGCTCGATCAAAAACAAGCTCCCGAGGGCTCCTGCTCACCCCAGTGAAAAGTGAAAATGATCTCAACCATTTACAGCCTCGTATTTTTGCCCCGTTGTCCTCCCAGTCCCCTCTCCCAGCCCCTCCGGCAGGGCAGGCGCAAGCTCTGGCCCCCACTCCCGAGGGGAGGCACGGGTGGGGCATGGCAGGTTTCTGTGGGCCCTGCAGGCTGAGCCAGCCTCTGGAGTAGGGCCAGCCCGTGCACTGTCGAGGTACAAGAGCAGGTACCCTCGGAAGAGCCTCCCTTCCTGCCTGCCCGCCCCGGTAGGATGGATGTCCATTCTCTGCGTGGTGGCTCAGGAGGAACAGGGAAGGTAAAGCTAATCCTCCCCCGTGTCTTCTGATGATGGTGCTGCTTAGGGTTGGGCTTGGGGAATCATTGTCTGCACTTGCAGGGCACGTGGCTGTCCCCAAGGACATTCGTGGTCCCAGGAGCAAGGGCGGGGGGGGGGGGGTGGGGGGGGTGTGAGCTGCCCGCCTGCCCACAGGCAGCCAGGGCAACAGGTTGCTGAAGGCCTGGCGGATCCCACACCCCCCACCCAGAATAAATCACAGCAACAAGAGCCGAGGGCAGAAATCAGCATTTGGAAAGCGGCTCTGGAAAAAAACAAAAGTCTGTGCGGGGCAGGCGCTGCCAAGCGCGGCGAGGCAGCGGCAGGAGCAGTTGGCACTGCGGCGCCTTACAAGCCTCTAAAGCAGCAAGATCTCCCAAATCATCACATGTAAATCTCACACACACCCGCCCCCTCCATATTTTATTACTTAGATCACAGTTGAAAAGCTTAAATGAAAACAGGGTTTCTATTTCCAGAGCTTGTTTAACATCGCGAATGTGATACAAACTGTGGGCTTCATGTTTTTAATTAAGGTTACTTACCCGGCCATGCACGGAAAAATAAGTCAATAGCTGCTGGCCACGTACTGCAGCCCGCAGCCGGCTCCCCGGAGGACGGTTCAGCGCCGACTGATCGGAGCGTTGGGGCTCCCATGCGTCCTGCAGCAGGGTGGGGACCTGGGGCGCTGGGGAAGTTTGGGCACCTGCTGGGCTGAAGCTGCAAGAAGCTCCTTTCCAGTCTTTTCAACGCCCCTCTCTCAGGCCATGCCCATGTGCCCAGCCTCAGACAGCAGGTAGGGCAGGCTGGCATGCCACGAAGTGGCAGCGAGGCACCTTTCCAAGGGATATTGTGCAGAAAGAGCCTAAAAGTGGTGCTCTGGGGCCTAATCTGTCTCACTGGAGGAGCCAGGAAAAAATCAACCATGCTGTCAGGCAGAGAGGAGAATTCGCTTCCGAGGCTGCAAGCGATGGAGCTCCCCAGTGCCAGCCCAGTTCCACCTCCTGCGGTGGGCGGCCGCCGCGCAGAGCCCAGCTGGCACCGCTGGGGCAGGCTGCAGCGCTGCTCTGCCTGCTGCCCCTTCCCCGGCCAGGAGCAGGGGCAATCCAAATTCAGTTTGGTAGAATCCCACCTAGGCTTCTAAATACAGTCCTAGTTTCTGGTTTACACTCCCAGCAAAATGTTTTTTGTCCCTTGCTTAGTGCTCTGGCTATTTTTTAAATATAAGCAAACATTTCTTTGGCATTGCATTCTCACAGCTCCCCCCTCCAGCTGCGGATTCCTTCACAGTAAACATATATGTTTGAAATTCAAAGAATTTCCTCACGTCCCTGGTACAGTCTGCTCTATGACATGCTGGGTGGCTAAATAACTATGGCCGTGTATGTCAAAGGGCCTGAAAAGTCAGGTAGGTGAGAAATTGGTTAGGATTATGCAAAATGAGGTGTTATCTACACCGCAAAATAGCCACACTTGCAGGCAGAGCAGTTGCAGAGACCTGTTGCCATCCATGGCAGCAGCTGGGTCAGCACTGAGCAAAGTCCCAAGGCACACGTAGATGAGGATGAAATTGCTTAACCAAGGTGGCTGAAATGGTGCCACCAGGGTTTTGCTCTGTTTCTGTGGGCAGCCAGAGCTGGCAGAGCCACAGCCATTGAAGGGGCTCGTCCTGCTCAGTCTGGCAGCCCCCAAAGCACTGGGGTGAAATAAAATAGGGGTGAAGTTAAATCTCTCAACATGGAATTTTGTTAAATATAATCCTAAGGAAGGAAGAAGAACTGTCCCCTTTGGCCATTTTGCAGGACTAATGCCTAGAATAGCCCCTGGCTTAGAGCAAAGCGGGTTTAGTGCTCCATCCTTGTGAGCAACAGGGTCATCATACCAGGCTTATTACATCTAAGTTGGGGGATAATTATGTTGGTCTACTAGAAATCAAAGATAGGCTTTGAAGTTGCCACCAAACTACAGGCCTTTTTGCATACAAAGAGCTGTGGAGAAATGAGCTTTGGAATGTTTCTCAACAGCAGCGAAGGAGCACCTAAAAGATAAAATGTGTGCTTATTTCTCTTCCTTATGGATATTTGGTTTGGAGGAATTGGTAAGAGGGTGTGCTGAAATGGAAACATGCATGCAGGAAGCAAACACACCAACATCATGCGTGACCATCCTTAAAGCAGCTTTGCTGGTGGTGCTGTGGCCAGTAATACTGTCAAACCACAGGGGCAAGGACTGTGGGGCGCAAAGAGGGCAACAACAGCAAGAGGGTGAAATGGGGAGGTTGTCAAGAGGACATCCTGAAGCCTGACAGATAAGACCATTAACCAAACCCTGGTTTCCAGCAAGACTAAACTGAGACAAAATTATAGACTGTTGCTCCGGCATAGCACTCAGGGTAACTCAGATATTTCCTCACCATTTACATCCAGGAGATGTATTCATTAAGGGAGCTGGTCTGCTGTCTGCAGGCCGCTGAATGCTGCAGAAAGGTGAACCAGACTTCACCTGATGAGAAAGCCAAAAAGAACTGCACCAGACTCTGTACACATGTGGGAGACAACCTTGTGTGAAGGTCCAGTTCTTGCCTTCCACAGAACAGGAATGGTTGTATGACATTTGTGTTTAGAAAAGAG